GCTGAAAACAGGTTTTCCTGCTCTTTTACTTTCTTCCTATCAAGTTTTTGCTGATCAGCGTAATTATAGCACAGAATCGTGTTGAGATTCCTGGGAAAAGGAGAAAGGTGTAAAAAACTTGCTGCCTTCAGTTTGCCAGGATGAGCTGCTAAGTTTGCAGAGCTTTAGAGGCAAGACTTCCGATGAATCATTTTGACAGGCTTATGGAGAGCATCTTTGCCATAAATCACCATTTTTCTTGCAAAAATCAATGGTATCCTAAAACACAAGGCTGAGAAATCCTATATTCACTTTACCCGGTGCCTTTTTAATTGTCATTATAAGAAAGTCTGAATACAATAATATTTACACACCTCCTCAATCAGTTAGAGAAAATCTACGGGTTTTGACTAGCTGTCCTTCTTGGGATAAATCTTGGCCTTATCATTCCCATGTGGATAAGAACGTCCTGTGGAAGACGGCGAATGATTAGAGGCCATCAGCTTCAGCACCTGTGCACATACTTACCACAGGTGCCTTGTGCTGCTGTCTTTAGGTTGAGTGAGAAAGACTGTGGGTCTTTCTTGGCCCAAATGAGCCTGGTCGTGTGGAAAAGGCAAGAAAATGTTTCCTGCTATTTGAACCCTAACTATTAAATTTAAATCTTTGAGTAAATTAGACCCAAGACTCCTCAGGTCTACCTAAGAGATGAGTTGTTTCTTATACTAGTACGTTCCCCAGAAACTAGTTGGATGCTAACACCAGCGACTGCAATGGCAGTGCCAGTGCATATGCTGCCCTTTATTAGTGGAAGAGCTTCCACACAGGTGGCTTTGACTTTCTATGGGTCCACAAGGGATGCCTTAGGGACTGGAGACTGAGAACTCCTTCTTCCAGCGAGGCGGTTCCAGTTGTGAGGAATTACCTTTGTAGAGGTTTGCAAGTAGCAAAGGCCATTGCATGGCAATTGATGCAGGAGAGGACAGCGCGGTTTATCAGAGACTGCTTTAATATTGTAGCACCAGAGAGTGGCTTAAGGACAGAGTATGTCTTAATACTGAATTTTCATTATTTTGCTATTTAAAGCAAGGCTACTAATATTAAAATCTTTGCACATACTGTGTTTTGCATCAGTATGTTTCACGGCTAGCCACCAAAGACATGATTTGTTCATGAAACCTTCTGAACTTGTCAGTGTGAGACAACGACTGTTTAGTTCTGGATGGAAATGTTAACAACGTTGCTGCGTGCTCCAGAGCCAGAGATAATTTTCCATGCTCTGCAGCAAGGTATACACCTACTGACGCATTGGTTTAAAAATGTGCTCTGCTAATTTGTAGTCAGGTTTTGGATCCTTTCTAGTATTTCAGCTCCCTAGGTCCATAAAGATATCTTCACTTACACAGCCAGGAAACAACCTCAAAACAGATTAAAAGATGGGAACTCTTCAAAGACTGCAAGATTAATTTAATGTCCTGCAGATTCTCTCAGTAGGCTAGTGGTAAAAAAAAAACACAACCAAAACCCTACAGCTTTTCAAATCTGTATAAAATATTTATCCGCCAAGATTTTTAAGGGCAGAATCTGCCTAAGTATTTACTCTCAGTGACCTGTATAGTTAAGGCTTACATAATTACACTATACACCATTTACTGGAAAGGCTTTAAATATTCATCTACTCCTCGTGTTTTAATGTAAACAAGGCACTTGGAATACCTAGGGTTTTTAATTCCTGCAAGGTGGAAAAGATGTCTGAAGCAGATGTTACTGCTTGGATGAGTGTTGCTCTGAAGGAACAGGGCAGATTGATGGTACTTAAACGATAGAACACAGTAACTTCTGGCCAGAGATGTACACGTCTGCACATCTCTGATTCTGATCCCAAACTAGTGTTCTTCAGGAGCTGGCTCTGCCTCAGTAAATAAAGTTGAAAAAAGTGTAAAATGGGTGAATATCAGTGGAAAAATCAGACCTTTACACTTCTGACTGCCTTCATTGAACCCCATCTGTTTTATTGGTTTGTCAAGAACATCTAGCCAAAACAGGCGGTAAGGGGAGGCAGCGAGGAGTTTATATACACATGCCTGGGCAAGGCACCACTGCGCCTTGCGCAGACACCACGCCTGCTTCTGGAAGTAAAGAAAACTCTACTCTTTTCCCTGTTCGTTAGGGGACGGACAGAGAAAGTATCTATCACCCACTCCTCCTGGAGCAGAGGAACAAGAGCTGGGGGCAGTGGGCACAATATGGCGCGTGGCTGCCAGGGGTGGGGGAGAGGGCCAGGGAAGGCAGACAACTTCAAATGCATCAAAGACGAGAACTGCCAGAATTACTCCTTGTCCCCTGCTGTCACTGATTTTATATGTCTAGTTGGTTAAAATTCATTTAACCTGCATTTTCTTAGACTGTCCTATCCGGTATTATTCTATTTCATGTGTAAATGATTATGACTTTGCCATTGAGCAAGTTCTTACCTGTGAATTTCAGTCAAAGGCAAATCAAAACATCACAAAATCATTTGTTCTGAAATGTTATATGAATTTATCCCCACTCAATCTTGATAGCAAAAAGCACAAAATTGTCTTTCCCCATGTACCAGTAAAGAGCCTGCTTTTAACGAATCACAAATCCGATTCATTCTGCTTACGCTTAAAGAACTGTGGATGCATTTAACATGGTTGTAGCCTTTTAAAAGGCTATTCAAAGGGGGCCATACCCCAGCTCCCCTTCCTTTTAGGATATGCCGAGGTTTTGGTGACGGATAACAGCTGCCTTCTCACTTTAGGCATTGCTCGCTCAAAGCAAAATAGTTAACTTCCAGGCTTCTTTTGTCTTAGACCTTTTAAAGATTAATAAACTAAAAAGCAGCAGCTGATCAAAATAACAAAGGGTGGTAAGGTGCCTTTAGTTTCTTATAAGAGTGTCTGCGAATTCCTGGTGGAATTCTAGGCCCAGCGCTGATGGAGCTGGCTAAGGATATCGATCGCCACTTGAGTTCACTGAATAAATAATGGTTGCCATAGTTATTGAGCATTCACAACTGGTGGGGAAGCACGGAAATCTCCAAAACACCTCCTGTGATAGTTTTGCTGGAAAATCACCCAATTAATTCTGTCTCATATCATGAAAATTATGCGAGATACGAAGGATGTTTGGAGTCCTTGTAGTAGAATTTCAATCATAATTGAGCATCTCTGCTGCCTCTTTTAGCAGCTAAAGAGAAAAGGGCACTTGCCATCTCTTATTTTGTGTGGCAGAAAGGTTAACTGACATCATAGAACCCCAACTGTTCTGAGAAATCTTATACTTGCAAAGCATTTTTCGCTTTGAGTGCCAGAGTGTGGATTTGGGTCACACCGAAGAAAACGAGCTCTCTCAATTTGGGGTAGGGAGGCTGATGTGTTTTTTCCTCTCGCTTTGCAGAACGACATGGATTAAAAGAACCAAAGAAAGTGGAAGAGCTATGCAACAAGATCACAAGCAGTTTGAAAGATCACTTAACTTTCAGTTGCCAAAACAAAGGACAACCGCTTGAGTCTGCGGAGCCGAAGGTACTGGGTGTTCTGGCTGACTTGCGTTCTCTCTGCACACTGGGACTGCAGCGCATCTTTTACCTGAAACTGGAAGATTTGGTGCCAGCCCCTTCCATTATCGACAGGCTGTTTCTGGACACCTTACCCTTCTGAGTCAAACCACCCTCCTGAAAGGCAAACGCCCACCAGAGCAGGCAAACGGATCGTGACTTACAGCTAACATTTCTGCCCTCACTTAACAGAAAAGCAGCTCCGAGTCTAAAATGAGGTCTTTTCTGGCGCTTTGTCCTTACAACCTGAGGCCTGAAACGTACTGGCTTACTGGTTTGGGGTTGTGTTCTTTGTTTTCTTTTGTGTGATTTGGGTTTTTTAAATGGCTAATATGGCACTTTTGGACAATGCTATCCCAGCAGCAGTAAAAGGTTAACATGACTGTTTTAAATCTGTTGTTTAACACCTCATGGCATATGAGGAATAAAATTGTAGAAGCTGTGTTTGAAAACAAGAACAGCAAACGGTTGTTTGCCAGGGTAGTATGTGTTTCGTGAGGATACCTTTAGCATACTTCCTGCATCAAGGGCACATACATCAGCACAATCGAAACAAAAATTCACTTTTTTAGCAAAGTACATTCAATTGAACGTTTCATACGAATCAAATATAGCAAAATGACAATGGCTGTTAGCTCCCATGTTCAAGTGCAATTTTTTAAAGTGCTGTCTTACTAAGTCTCGTTTATTAACTAATTTATTTTACTATGAAAACAAACGGAAGAAATCAAGTGAGAAAATTACATGCACTAACTTACCTGACAGAGTTTTCCAAACTTGATTCCATGTAGCGCAACTTATTGACAAATGTATGTGGAAGACACGGGAGCAATTGTGGCTCAGTTGTTCCTTAGCTAAGGAAATCCGAGTAAGTAGTGATTGGAGCATACAGGGTCAGCATCAGGGATAGTTCAGTTTTAGACTTCTAACATAAGCGACGAGTTAGTAAACGGACAGAAGATGGTTTTCAAGAACAAGCAAGTCTTGTAAAATAGTATGAATGTAAGTGCTAGGAAGGATATAGCGGGCTGCGTTTAAACATTCCGTGTTCGTACTCCTTTTTGTATGTTTATACTGTTGATGCCATATTAATATGAAATAATTTGTTGCATAGTGTCTTTATTTGTATAAATGTTTGTATGCATGGTATATTGTAATGGCTTTGCCTGTATTTATTGCAATGACTGCCAGCTCATGGGAGCCCTGTTACACATGATAACTAAATGGGGTGTTCACACTGACTCAGATACACCAGTTGGAAAACTATATACATATATATAATGTGTATATATATATATGTATATACCTATATTTGTGTGCGTGTGTGTGTGTGCGCGTGTCTTTTTATTAACCATTTGTATATAAAATATCTGTCAAATCACAAGCAGAGTTATTTTACAGTTTATTTGCAGTGACTTCTAAGGCAGTACTGTTTAGCACTTTGATATTGAAATCTTGCTCATGTTTTGCTAAATTCAAATAATATTTAAAAAGTTTAGTTCTAAAAAACTTTATATGCACTGTATTAAGTCAAAATTTTGTTGGTCATTTTGCTAAGGAAATTTTTGAATGTCAACCTGATGTCACTGTATCTTTTGTTAGCTTTAAACATTCTAGCTTTTGTCTTTTTTTAAACTATGCTGTTTATATGGAAATTAAATTATACAATCAAACAGATGCCAAATGAATTGCCTAATTGCTGCAAAGGATAACCCTGATATCGAGTCACTGTATGGTTTTCAAATAGTAATCTGGTATTTTATCACTTACTATGTTTGGATGTGCTTTTATGAAAAAATTATTCTTATATCAAGATTTATAGTAGTGTCAATAAGGAAACAGACTTCTAATCACTATAGTTAATATTTCCGGTTTACCTGCAGATAATATTTGGAAAAGTATTGCTTTTTGTATTGACTTTTAAGCTTATGTGCAAACATAATAGCATAATTAAATATCAGAGAAGCTAATGTTTCTTGTAGGTTGCTGTAACAAGCCTGACCAGCAAGACAAATATATTTTGACTGAATTTGCTTTTGTATATACTAAATATATATATATACGTATATATATATACACTCACACACATGTGCGCATACAAAAACATACAGACACAAAATCCAGAAGTATGTTTACTTTTGTCTCCTTGTGTAAGACACAAGGTCCCTTGAGAAATTACTTTTATCTAGGGACAAATCCTGCCAGGTGCTGAGCACCAGCCAGATGAGGGCTTGCAGGCGCTTCTTGCGAGTGGGCCCTTACAAACAATTTTCAGGCGAATCAGCATAGTACAGTAAAATTGCTTTTTTGTTGAGCAAGGTTTATTTATTAAGTGGAATGTGAGTGGGAGGTAGCAGGTCCAGAGCCCCGTGTGAGATTTCACGTAGCCGGTGTCCTCCAGTCTTCCATAGATAGTCTTAACTGTGATACTCTCCCAGGTCCCATCATCTGTGGAATTGTCCTTCATGTCAACTTCAATACACGGATTCATCCTAGAGTACAACCAGTGACAGGTCACAGTGGTAAAAGAAACAGTTAACGCAGAATAAATCTACTACTTTTCTTAGAGCTCTCTCAGCGTGAACATGCCTTTGTCTAGGCAGAATTCAGGAATATATCAGGTGTTAAGGGAGAGTGCCTTGCTTTTATTTCAGACAACAGTGTTTCAAGAGTTTCTTCACTCCGCTAACCGCAGTAGGTTTTTTCTTTTTTCTTTCTTTTTTTTTTTTTTTGTGGTGTTAACCTGTGGGTTGAAAGAAATGCTCTTGTACATATACAATGTAAATTAAAATTATTAAATTGAATAACATTTTTTTCAGAGGCCCCATGTGTGTTGAATAAGTATGCTTAATTCTGTTAAAATATGATGTGAATTTTTTATCGTTTATAAAACATTTAAAAAATTGTCTATTTGAGTCTTAAAAGTGGAAAAATTGGTGAAGCATGCTTAAGAACACTGGCAATTTAATGGCTAGTCTTTTGATTAAAATAGCTTTTATATAAATACAAGACCTGCAGTATCTGGTTATGCAATCTCAAGAGAGCTGGACCATGGTTGTCCCCGAGGTTGAACTACATATGGACCAGAGCAGAGAGGCTGCCTGCCCCAGACTGTACTTCTCCTCCATGCTGGGAAGGGGATGGCTATAGGGCTCGTGGTCCCATATAGTGGCTATATCTGGCTGGAAAGAGCTCTGATCCCATCTTCCGTCCCTTTTGTGTCAGTAAATCCTGGTAAGACATCGCTCCAGCAGGCACCTGCAGCACTTTCTTTAAATGAGCGTCCAGTTCCTTTCCTCACCGTGCCTTTGCTTTGTAGGAGCGATCACCTACCCCCTGCCAGAGAAAACTGTTTGGCTACAAATGCATTTTCTACAAATGCAGTTTTGAGAGGCATCTGCCGCTATTCCGAGTATTGCCATAAGTACCGATGGCTCCGGCACACCTCCGTGAGAGCTGTTCTCCTGCAGGAACTGCTCGGCTGGAGGTTACATCAAATGGTGTGCTGTGGCGGGCTGCGGGACTGGCAGCTCCTTCTTTGGAAATGTGACAAACAAAAGGTTGCTCAAACTCTTCCAAATTATTTGTTCCTTTCCCCCTATGCCTTATTTCTAAAATTAAACTAAAAATCTTAAAATCCTTAATGAGAATGCCAATGAGTTTTGCGTAATAGTCCCCTGTTAGGCAAAACATGCAGATCTTACGACCAACCCGCACCACGGTCCGAATTTTCACCCTACAAGAAAAAGTTTATCCTCACTAAACTCACAAGTCTCTCAATTTGTAATTACTTCAGGGGCCATAAGTTGTGTCCTTAGACATGGGAAGAGTACTGTGTCCTGATCTAGATCACCTGCACTTGTGTCCTTACGTGCGCCTTACGTGCACTCCTAAACCACATCAGTGGCAGCGTCCTTGCAACGGATGCGATGCCCAATGCTTGACTGGCATTGAAAGGTTGGGCTGGGTCAGGAATAGGATAACGGGTTCCTCTAGTAGAGACCGTCCTTGGACAGGAGGCTTGCACCAAGGCACCCCAAAATGAGCAACTTTAACAAGAGGTGAGTCAAATCTCTTTGTACAGCTTTCCTACCTTTACTTTTCACATTCAGGTTCATTTGTCCAATATACAAAGCTAAAATTTCAGCTATGTTGAAGAGAGGAGGGAGATAGAGAGAGGTTTAATTGTATAAAATTAAGCATGGCTCTGAGAAAAATTGGCAACTCCCTCTATGGATGCTATGAAACATGTCTTTTCATTAATTATTTGTATTATAGCAACACCTAGAGGCCATAACAGAGATCAGGACCCCACTTTGCTAGCTATCCTAATTAGCACCTCCAGTACCCACCTGGGAGAAGCTCCAGTTCAAACAGACAAAAGAAAAAGAAAGAGGAGCAACACAGGAAAAAAGGAGTAGAGTGCCATGCCCAAGGGCATATAGCAGTGCGGTCACAGAGTTAGGAATAAAAACTTTTATTTATTCAGCTAGTGTCCAGTGAATGCTCTTATTTTGTTTTCCTTTTCTTTCCCTTGGCAATTTATGCTGCCACCGTATCAAATTTCATGCAAACACGATAAAAGCATTGACAAATTCAAAATAACCCATGTATTCAAACTGATCTTGTTTATCCTGCGTATATAAGTCATCCATGAGACTATTCAAAGTCCTGGTCAATCACATGTTTGGAACTAAGCTGTGATACAAACTAGATAGTATTTAGAAAAGAGATATTTTGCTGTTCTTTATTAAATTAATGAAACCGACCATTAGGAATATTTCAAGATATGGATTAAACAATAATTATTAATGGATAAAAAAGATTAACTTTTAAAAATGCCAAACTATTGATGCAGTAACTGAATAAATGAGGAGTCAATTAATCAAATTCTTAGCAGTGGACGGCATATTTGAGAACTGTATTCCAGACCTACATTTGTGGCAATTACCAATACAGTGATTTGTCAAATAAAACAAAAAGAAACTTGTTTGCCATATGGAAACACTTTTAGCAATTTTTCTTCTGTTTTCTTTCTTAACATTAGACACCTTTACATTTATATTCATAATACAGAATGCTCTGGCTGCATTGGTTACAGAAGAAGTTTGAATACATGAAGTTGTGACATGGCTGTGAAAGTTGGATGAGATCAAGAATCTGACCTAAACTCACAAAAGCAAGGATTTTCTTTAAAGATAAGGCTGGAAGTCCAGCTGTAATTATATATTATGTATATTGCAAGATACTTATCTGTGTATAATGGAACTACTTTATTGTCAAGTACAAGATTCTGAAGCCATGCAAGAGACAAGACCACGGGGAAAAAAACGCTATTTTTTTCTCATTGTTTAATATTTTCATAGAATCATAGAACAATTTAGGTTGGAAAAGACCTTTAAGATCATCAAGTCCAACAGTAAACCTACCACTGCCAAGTCCACCACTAAACCGTGTCCCTAAGCACCACATCTACCCATCTTTTAAACACCTGCAGGGATGGCAACTCAACCGCTTCCCTGGGCAGCCTGTTCCAATGCCAGACTACCCTTTCAGTGAAGAAATTTTTCCTAATATCCAACCTAAACCTCCCCTGGCACAGCTTGAGGCCGTTTCCTCTCGTCCTATCGCCCTCTTCTCCAAACTAAACAACCCCAGTTCCCTCAGCCGCTCCTCATAAGACATGTGCTCTAGACCCTTCACCAGCTTCGTTGCCCTTCTTTGGACACACTCCAGCACCTCAATGTCCTTCTTGTGGTGAGGGTCCCAAAACTGAACACAGTACTCGAGGTGCGGCCTCACCAGTGCCGAGTACAGGGGCACTATCACCTCCCTGGTCCTGCTGGCCACACTATTCTTGATACAAGTCGGGATGCTGTTGGCCTTCTTGGCCACCTGAGCACACTGCTGGCTCGTATTCAGCCAGCTGTTGACCAACACCCCCAGGTCCTTTTCCACCAGGCAGCTTTACAGCCACTCTTCCCCAATCCTGTAGCATTGCATGGGGTTGTTGTGACCCAAGTGCAGGACCTGGCACTCAGCCTTGTTGAATCTCATACAGTTGGCCCCAGCCCAACGATCCAGCCTGTCCAGATCCTTCTTGTAGGGCCTTCCTACCCTCCAGCAGACTGACACTCCCGCCCAACTTGGTTTCATCTGCAAACTTACTGAGGGTGCACTTGATCCCCTCGCCCAGATCGTTGAGAAAGATATTAAACAAAACTGATCCCAACACTGAGCCCTGGGGAACACCACTCGTGACTGGCCACCAACTGGATTTAACTCCATTCACCACCACTCTCTGGGCCCGGCCATCCAGCCATTTTTTTACCCAGCGAAGAGTATGCCCATCCAAGCCATGAGCAGCCAGCTTCTCCAGGAGAATGCTGTAGGAAACGGTGTCAAAGGCCTTACTGAAGTCCAGGCAGACAACATCCACAGCTTTTCCCTCATTCACTAAGCGAGTCACCTTGTCGTAGAAGGAGATCAGGTGAGTGAAGCAGGACCTCCCTTTCACAAACCCATGCTGGCTGGGCCTGATCACCTGCCATGTGATGGCACTCAAGATGATCTGCTCCGATTTAGGTTGTTTATCACTTTTTCTTAAAAGAACAGAGAACTCTGGGCTTGTTTAGGTGGAATTTTATCTCAAATAAATAAATAAACAAGCTAAGTGACATTTAAAGAAAGAAATGTGTTTAAGTAGCTGAAATATCTCAAATAACCCAGAACCTTTAACCTGCTAAGTAATGTATTAAAAAACTCCCTCCACAATAACTTCCACTGTGGTCTGTGATTAAGCACTACTGTAGAAGCGAAAGTGAATTACAGAGATGGTTTGATACTGGGGAAACTTTCAAACATAGCAGAGAGAAAACAGAAATTAATTTACCTTTCATGGGGTCTTATTATTTATCTTGCTGTGTTTCCTAATTAATTGACAATATTGATGTTTACACAGGGATTTGCTCCTTTCCAACTTCGTTTGATCCTGTGAAGAAGTCAGAATGCTGCATTTGTAGTATCACA